TCTGTCTATTATGTATTCGATCAAGGATAAAATTTATATGTCGTCACAGAGGCTGCTTGTGGTGGCTTGTAAGTTAGTTAATGGAATCCCTCTTCACAAAGAAAAGGTATGTGGGTAAAAAGGAAGTTTGTGTTATGGATATTCAGGTTTAGGATTGTACTGTACGCATATTGGTTTTGGGTTGTGCATGTGCATATGGCTAAGTATTCAATGGGAGACATATCTACAGGTACTAAAGGTGTGGAGGGTAAAACAAACTAATCTGTGAAAAGGTTTATACATACTGTACTAACTAACAGTTTGCTTAACAGTAATTGGCAAATTGGTAACATTATGATGACGCTGCTAATACCTATGGCTTCTTTTTTTATCAAGTTTTTATGTTAAAAGTTTTTATTTATACTGTACGGCTCATTATATAAATGTAAAGTGTATGTTTTTTAGTCTAATCATCTTGTTTGTCACTTAAGTCAATAAATTCTTGTTATGTTCTCTGATCACATTTATAATATTTACCAGTCATAATTATTTGTTTTATAATGGATTGGTATTGCTCAATAAATCTTGATACAATATACTGTATAAGATATACTGTAGTACCTTTGATCATCAGATGCAGATATATTTTTTTAGACTTGATATAGAAAGAAAGCAAAGGAAAGTGTAGAGAATAATATTAAGGTGGGAAGTAGTTGATTTTGAAGTATAGAACTGTAAAGAAATAACTGGATGACTGAAGACTATAACTGTTCAGACTAAAGTGTCAGTTAAAACAGACTGGTGTCGTAAAGTAACTTCACATTTTGACAAAATATAGAAATTCTTAACATAATTGATACAAAGTTTGTCATTTGTTGTGATGGAGTCAGTCCCTCGGGCAATTAAGTACAGTAAGATCTTGTATTTCACGAGTAATATAGACTGCAAAAATTGCGACAAATTCACATTTACTAAATGCAAATACCCTGTACATAAACTATTGGGAAAAATAACAATATAGACTGGCCACTCTACATCAACCTCTGATTTTCCCATTTATAACCTCCAAATGATACAAATTCTGCCTTTTTTGACTTGATTGTACTTTCCGGAAACTAGGTTTTAGGTCTTCCTCAAGTAACTTAATCACACGCTGCTGAGGTGGGTCTGTCCCACCAGCACCAGTAGGACCCCCAGTAGAGGTAGAGGCCATTATCTTGACTCACCAGGTGGTAGCACCACCCAAAAGAGCACACAATAGCAGCCCAGGCGGTCGCTAGGATAGCGCGGGGGACAACGCGATAGTTGCGTTCTTGTAAACCTATTTTACGTTCATCACCGGCAATTCGATCACCAGAACTCTTCTTAGAAACATTCTTCTTACCTTGTCTTTCCATATTCATCGCCAACACAACAAAATTGGAGAAAACAGCGAAAATCACGGAGTAATCGACAGAAACCGCGCGATTCAACTGATCACTTAATATAAACACAGACCGCTGGTGTAAACCATTATAAATCCTCACTCCGAAACATTCTTTTTACTTATTTTTTTTATACAATATTATGGGTAACAGCTAAATTTGCCAAAAAGAACAAAATTTACAGAGTACCTCTCAAAAAACACTTCACAAACAAGACATGAATCAATTGAACATGTGATGTCAAACGTGAACTGTAAACATTGCATAACCCTGTGCCATGCTTAACACGTTGAGGATGGAATTGCACTTTAGCCAACATTCGTATGTAAAAGTTCGCATTTTACAAACAGTGTTCCCCTATTCATCAATCGCGTTACAACCAATTTGCATTGACAAAACACACGTTGTAGCAGAAATGACTGACTGGTATGAGGGCTGTGACATCATTCAAAACGGTGGCCAGCATTCAGCTTGCTGGATCTCGCGAAACTCACGATATTTTACGCCAAATATAAGACTTGGTTACATTAGGTAGTGCGCAAAATTCAAAACACGAAATGAAATCGTGCGAAATATGAGATCTTACTGTATAGAACTCAATGTAGTTAAACCATAGACCTTGTACAGCACTGTTGTTAACAATAATAATAATACACATCTGCTGTAATAATACACACCAGAAAACATAATGTGTTTGATGTGTGTATTAGTACAACTTACACTTGTCCAAGAAATTCTACAAGGAATTAGCTGTATGCAAAAATCTATTAAGGTGTGTCAATCTAATTCACAGGATTTCACTCAACCCTGATAATGAAGAGACTTATGAACTAGTATCTCAAGTAACAATTATTCAAATAATTATCTGCAGGGTTATACATTAATACTTTTTCTTTTCATACTACTGTATTTCCTCCTTTTCAGTTATAACCTGCATGTTATAACTGGCCATAAAATAGTTATCTCATGAGAATAAGTTTGTAGCAAGTGAGAGAATATTTACTGCCACCTTCACCTACACATAATATAAAACAAATGTGAATGAAACCATTATCCTCTCTCATACAGTACTTAGGATGGAAAAAGGTGACGCATTAATTGGTAAAAATTCCTCAGCATTTGGAATTTATGATTAATGATCTCTTTTAAGAGCACTGTACTGAATAAATATTAACGGTACTGAAACAAAGGTAAGAAGGAGACAGAAAATTGCTCTTCTGATTTGTTACAAATCTTTAAAGACAAATTGGTAAAATGTAATTGTACGGAGAACCTCTCCCCCTGCCATTATTTTTCTAGCTCTAAATGTAGTGTATGTTGAGATGACCAGAAGGAATCTGAGGTACCTTTGATAAGTGATCATTAAGGATGATCCCTAGCACTGACCAGATACAGTAATCTTGAGCAATAGAGGTGACTTATTATTACAATTTATAATAACAGGAAGTAAGAAGCATTTCACCTTAATCCAACAACGTGGTAGTTCGTGAAGCAGTTGCTGAGAAATTATTCTAATGTGGGATGAGGAAGTTGAGATGTGATTATACTTCTTTTTTTTTTTCACAGAAAAGTGACTTCTGAAGATGAGAATGACAAAGTTAAATACAGCCCATATAATTAATTTGCCAAATGAACAGATACTTGGTCCTATTTCTTTCATTTGCTTGCTATAATCACTAATGAAATACAGTGGAGTCTGCATTTACGTGGTCAATTGAACCCGTGGAGGCCTGCGTAAAACGAGAAACGCGTAAATGAAATAACAGAACATATGGGATTAATTGAAATAGAGACTGGGCCGACCCCCAAACTCCACTTTTTCCGACAATACGTATGTTGTAGTAAATAAAAATAACATCTTAATTTTATGATGGTATGCACACACAATCAATATTTAAGAGAAATACCCCCTGTACAGTCGCCGGTTAATGTCCATTCAAATAATGGACTCAACCCCCTCCCCCCTCTTTCTCTCTTCCCACGCTCATTGGCTCCTCCCTCTCTGAGAAATGTTTGGGTGAAAACAGTAGGCTTGCATTTTTAGTAATAAATAATACCTCAGACTAAAGTTAGGATAATATACTTGACATTGCTGGATTCCTTGTAAGACAAGGAATATTTTGAATATAAACGTCATATATTTTGCACAAAAGATAAAATTTTTGCCCTTTCTAATCAAAATTCCTACATAAGATCTAAAATTTGTATGTCTAATGCAAATTTTATGATGTTTATATTTAAAATAATCACAATCTTATAAGAACTCCAGCAATGTAAATTTATTCTGGCCGGGTAATTTGTATGAATTTTATGAGCTAAAACAAATATCTTCAGTAAATACAGGAAACAAATTATACTTCACCCGCGTAAATGACCAAATTTACCGCGTAATTAAAGCATTTCATTCTGGCAAGGCACCGCGTAAATGACCAAACGCGTAAACAAAAGCCGCGTAAATGCAGACTCCACTGTAATCTGATAACAAATCTCAGTGTTTTAAGAATGTCTTTGTGTTAAAAAAGTCATCTGTGCAGGACTACAGTACAGTAGAACCAGTACACAAACTTGTTACCGGTAAGCCATATCCTAACTGAACTCCAGGAGATGTAATGGTTCAACCAGCGTGACAAGCCAGATTTAACTAAATATTGCAACAGAACATTCTAGTCTCAACTGAGCCATCCATCAGCAGACTGGCCATGTGTTTGGCATTAAGTTGTTTACTTACTCTTGGCTTCAGGGATTTTAATAATTTTATTATTTTGTTATTTTGAAAATGGTAGCTAAGCAAAGTGTGAACTGTACTTTACTGTATAAATTTCTGGACCCCAAAATTTAAATTTTAGATATACAGTACTGAAAACAAAGCAAGAAACTTCACTTGGATATAATATGGTAACTTGTGTGGTGTTTTGTTAGAAAGCATTGACAGAGTTTTCCATTGTAAACTGATGCATTCTTATTATATCCAGTATTATTCATATTCATATTTATTAAAAAAATGGAAGTACTGTATAGATTATAATGACCCTTTTAAGGACCGTACTTAAACACTGCACTTTTGACCTTGAGAAGTAAACCCTCTATTTGCCATTGACTTAATATTTTACCTCAAGAAAGTAGCTTCTACTTTGTGGTGAATAAGCTTTTGAAAAGTGAGATGCAATACAGAGGGAATAATGGCTATGAAGTGGTGTTAGATTCTGCATGTGTTTTAGATGACATGAGTAGGTAGGTTTGGAACTTTTTTTTTTTTTTATTTATTTTTTTAGCATTTGGTCGTAGACGTACAGTAAGCAGTCTTATTTCTCAGTGATCTCCGTGTGGGGAATTTCAGAATACTTATGATTAGTATCAATCTTCGTGGATGTTTTTGACCTCTTTCTTTACTTTAATATTCTGTATAATAATTACAAGTAAAAAAACACAGCGAAGCGAAAGCCAACTACAGTATAATATTTATAAATAATTTTCATTATAAGAAGCATGATGAAATTCAGTGTACATCCATGAATCGTTGTTGAGTATTGATAGTTGTTAATTACTGTAAAAGTATTTCAGTAAAAATCATTGACCTTACCTCTTGACCCATGATAGATACGGTATCGCCAAGTGTCCCAAATATTCAATTTTTGGGAAGACTGGCAGTTGTCTCCTGAGTGAACTAACCAAGCCTGCACATGATAAATGGGAGTGGTATAATTTCACTCTCAACTCTGCCAATCAGTTGGGAACCCATAATGAGGCATTTTACATCAACCAGTATGCTCAAGGTGTGTGTGTGTGTGTGTGAGCTTTCATTGTTTCTCCGAGAGTATTGGACCAGAGATATTCCATCAAGCAGTTATTATACTGATGTTAGCTTAGTTTATTAATAGTATTTATATACAGTAGATGGTAAATTGTAGCTCATTGCTTTAATAAATTATGTCTTCTGGAATATTAAGTCCCATACTCTTTGAAATCTAACTCTCCATTGTTGAGGTTTAAAAGTATACTCAAGATGTCAGGCTGTGACCATCTCCCCACATCACTTCTTGTAAGTATCTCAGGCAAGTAGAAACGTTATTACTTCTGTACTGTTACGCTGATCTCCAGGAAGATGGGTGATGACGCACAGTGATCTTCAGGTGGGTGTAAGAAGCGGTCAGGTAGGTGGATAAGAATAACTGCTTTTGGCTTCTTGGGGTGACCCTGTTTTCCTGTAGAAAAAAAAAGAAAAACATCAGATATCACCATCATATATTAATCATTATTATCTTCGAAGGAACCATGCAAATAAAAGTCTCAAGTACAAAAACTGTGATGAAGTTAAGCTCGTAAATACTCATCTTTTTTACATTTTCTTGTGCCACGGTCACTCATATTTTCTGTGTTCGTGGTCCGTTGCACAACTCAGTTTTTTAGGATTCAATATATTTTGAATTTTGGGTCTTTTTAGTTGATATTTATAACCAGATAAAGTTTAAAACCTTGAACTGTCACCTTATTTGTTATTTTGTGAAGCTTTTATGTGCAGTAGTAATGGCCTGTGGTGGAGGTGTGGTGTTAGTTGGAAGCATAGTACAGTAGTGTCTCGTACACACTTTTATCAGCTAGGCCATTCTGACCTATGAAGGCTTGTGATATATTAAGGTTGCTGTGTTGTAGTTGCTTGGTGTTGTTTCTTGTTGGGATTAAATACAGTACAGTATTACTAAGTCGTCATTTTAGCTAATTTTTGCTGTTAAAATATTACTTTGTGGACCATCTAATGGCTTGTACAGCACTGTTGTATGAATACAGTGAGTTCTGCTATAACGCGTGTTTTGATAACGCGAATTTGCTCTAACGCGATTTATGAATTCGGAACAATATTTGTATAACGCGATCGCTTGTTTGCTATAACGCGATTTTTGCTTACTATTTCTCCAATTTTGTGGTATTAACTGTGAATATGGTAAAGAAGAATATCTCCAAAAAGCATTCTGATGATAGAATTCCCGGTGATTATCGTAAAAGAAAGGATATAACACTTGAAGAGAAGCTTGATGTTATCAACCTCAAAATCACCCTTCTCCCCCATCAAGTTACATTCATATTTTTTCAAGGTAAAGTGTTAAATTTACTGTATGATTTCATTATTAGATATGAATGTAACATTTATTTAGACTGTGCTATCCTTTGTGTTAGGCTAACTACTAAATTTTTTCGATTTCGAGTAAACTGCACCTAACCCTATTTTCTCCATAAGCCCTGTTATTTCTATTACGCGATTTTCTATAACACGATATTTTACAAGAACACAATTATCGCGTTATAGCAGAACTACCTGTACTTATTTATATTTTTAAAGAACCATATCTGAAAAACCGTTGTTTTTTTTTTTTTTTTATGGAGGAAGACATACAGTTAATAAGATATATACAGTACTGTACTACAGTATAGATATACAGTATACGTATACAGTACGTATATAATATATGAGAATTTTTTTTTATAACATGGAAATTTTCAAAATTTCAAGAGCCACATCTCCAAAACTGGCCAAGGAAATTTTCTCAGAAAAATTATGAGGACCAGAAATTATTTTGTTCATATTTTTGACAAAATTTTCAAGTGTTCTTCAGTGAGCCTTGTCTGAAAAATAAATACAAAAATTTTGGAGATTAATATCAATGTTTCCCTAAGTTGAGATGCAAATCCCTGAATTATCTGAATAAATGTATAGATTTATTTTGATTTTTATAATTTTTACACTTATTACACCAGAGAAGGAGTGCGGCAGTTGAGTGAATAGGACGATGCATATTTATCAAGAAAGCAGTTGATAGATTACATGATGGTTTACTTTGATATACCTGTACTGTAATAGATATATGGACAGAGCTGATAATTAGGTAATGACAGGGTATGTATGTGAGACGAGATGCAGTACAGTGGAACATTACGGATGAGGAGGAAAGAGCACGTGAAAATACAGTGATATATCCATTAGCCGGAACAATTGGTGCAGGGCACTGCCGGGAATGAGAGATTTCCGGGTAACGAGACGACTCTCAATGCCGGAAAAAATCCCTCTTCCTCGGAATTTTCCGGGTAACGGAAAAATTTTCTCGGAAGTTCCAGAAATTACCCATTACATCTTCTCTTGAACCCGGAAAAATATCCCTCATCCCCCTAATTTTCCAGAATTTTCTGGGTACTGGAAAATTTTAATCAGAATTTACTGAAAATGCATCTGATTTTCATCCCTCAAACCCAGAAAAAACTTCCCCTTCCTTGGAATTTTCTGGGTATCGGGAAAATTTTCTCAGATTTTTCTGGAAAAAGGACCCCCTCTGAAAATTTTGGCTTTAGGAAAGATTTTCTGAGAAAATTTCAGTTCTGGCTATCGGAGAGTTACGGGTTTGATGGGATTCCAGCTAATGGAGATATTACTGTGTGAGGAGTACGTATTTTATTGTTTCTGTAGGAGAATTTTATTGTTTCTGTTGGAGTATTTTATTGTATGAATGTTTTATGAGGTCAACATGACTCGTGAGATAGGGAGATCCTCATTGTCTTGTTATGGAATGGAATTTGTTGATTCAGAAAGTACAAAAGAACATAAGAATGGAGGAAGCTGCAGTGGACCCATTGGCCCATACTAGGCAGCCCTATTTGCACCCATACCCCCTATCGTTCATAATCCATCCAACCTATGTTTGAGGTGTCAGTGAAGGAAGTTAAAAATAGTTTTGGTAGAATTTGGCAGGAATCTATTTAATCTGCTGATGTTTTTTATGAGACCTCTTTATTTGTTAAACACTGTAGTACTGTTTAAATGGCTCCAGACAGGCTAGGGTTAAGGTTAGTGAGGACTAGAATATTTGATAATTTGTTTATATCTCCCAACCCTAACCTTACCGATCTCTTGCCCTAGCCAACTCTTACCCTAGCCAACCCTAATCCTATCCAACTCATGGCCTAACACCATGCATAATTAAGCTATCTTATTTTCTAATCCTAAATAATCCCTTATGAAACAGTCTATACCGTGTGTTGAACCTTATTATTTAGTAGTGCTGTGTGGTCCCTTCCAGATTATTTATGATTTGTGATGTTTCCTTTCACTTCTCCATTTAATGAAAAACTACTGGGTACTGTACAGTATTCCAAACACAGTATCACAAGAGGTCCACCAATAAGTTTGTCTGAGCTGTATTTTCTGGTACTGTTTCAGCTAAAAGGCCTGTTTAGGTTTACCATATCTTCAATATTAGATAAAAACTATATTGAACCATGCCCACTGCTCCCACCCCTGTACTGTACTTTAGTACCAGAGTGGCACTCTGTTTTGTCATCAGAATTAAAAAAAAAAGTTACCAGCATAGCAAGATATATATTGTGGACCTCGTTATGGGCAACTTTGGATTGGGTTACCAAAATAGATTTAATAAGCTTTATAGTGGGTTTTTGTGTTGATGGCAGAGGGGGGGGGAGGGGTAGGGGGCTTTAGGTTGTTAACACAAACAATGATTTGGACAAACTCTTGCCCTTTGATGACAGTTCACCTTATCATTTCCTTTATTTCCTATTCTCCATATCATCTGGGCAACCCTGTGACTGACATACTCGACCACACTATACTGGCATGATATTAATGTTACAACTCTTAGACTAGAGTGGATACGTACCTCTAGTAGCCCTCCCTCTCAATCGTACCCTCGTGCTTTTTTTTTTTTTTGGTAAAGTTGTAACAGTTTTAAGGTGTGCCTCTCATGGCAGCCAGTGGATATTTACTAGAAAGTGACACACTGTAGGGGATGATGTACCCACTACTCCACTAGGGAATGACGTACTCCTTATGGGATGAAAAAATTCTGAAACTTATGTATCAGTGATTTTTGAGAGAGATCCCTTGGCATTAAGTAGATATATGGATTCAGGCAGTCTTGGTGGTGAGTCCTTATGATGATGTTTAGAGGAACAATCTTTGGGTGATGGGCAAAAGACTTTTTCTCCTGCATGAAAAGAGGTTTTTGGTATCTTCAGAATATAGAAACACTCTTGATGTTACTGTGAACACAAACACACTTGATACTACCAAAAAACAATTTATTTATACATTGATTAGTACATTTTCTAACCAGTCACAGCTTACAGTGACTGTATATCCAACAAGTGTATGGCTTCAACTCCTGGTTCCTGAGGACCTAAACATGTGAATGGAATCTAGAAATACAAACAGAATTGACTTTACCTTTGCATCAGATTCCACTGAAGGAAATGCTTGTTACAGTATAGAGAAATTTTAAAAGGGATAAGACTTGAGAGTTTTTGCTGCCATGTTCACACTTGTGTTTTCCTCTATCTTCTCTTGTTTGGCAGGAGAAACAGACCCAACCTCAGTTTCTAATTACTTGAGTGAAATATCATGTTTCACTTAACCTCATCTGCTCTTGTGTGAAGCTAAATTGCATGGCAGTTATATATTTACTGGTTTTGGTTCAGATAATACCAGTTGGGAGGACTATAGTTTATTATCCAGAGAATGAGTTATATAAATTTCTTAGCGGATTGTTTATGGTTAACAACAGTCTCCATACAGTACACTTTTGGGACCACTGAGTGAATCCATGAAGTGGCAGTATTAGTCAATATGGAAGCCTTACCAAGGATACACCGGAAAGTTTAAGCCTGCCTGACTGTTTTTTAGCTTGAACAATAATTGAGTTCCTTCTTTGGAATTTTCAAGTTCAGGATTTATCTGCTAACACTTGAACATCATAACAGTCTGCTCTTGTTAAACATCTGAGAGAGGTCTTTGCCATTGACCTTTCTTCAGAAGTATGTAGAATTATTTCTAGACCTTATTGGAAAGGCCCTAAAGTAATATACTGTATAAGTGAAAGGGTATCTTGAGCCTGAAATTCTTATCATAGAAATGGACATCAGAATTTAAGGTTGAGGTTATTTGTTTCCAAATTGGAAGATGGCAGCTATTATTTTCGTTGTCTGGAATTCTAAGATGGAAATAAACAATCTTATATTTCTAGCACTCTGATTAAAGTTATTAAATTTATACAACCTGATGAAGTTCCATTGTTGTGTAATATTACAGATACAACTGTTGTGATGTCCTTGGTCATTTTGCCTGGTACATCCCTCAAGGCTATTCTGAGCAGAGGGAGCATGGTATCAGGCGGGACATTTATTGGCTGATATGTATTATATTGTACAATTGACATGAAATGTTTGCCCTTGAGAGTCTGTTAAGGTATAAAGTAGTTTGTATTCTACTATGTACCTGTTTTGGCAGAGCTGCTGTACAGGTAGTGACTCCCAGATGTGCTACATGAATGCTTGTAGCTTTTAGTGCTTCTTAACCCATATTCTAGCTGGCTTGGATGTATGGGGCCATCCTAGACTGACATAAGGATAGGGGCAATTTGGGTCACCTGTCTACCATTAGGACAGTTAATTGTTCAGGAAAATTACTTTGATTCAGCTCCTGTGGTTAGTAAGCCAGACAAGAGAGGATTCAGGAGTACTTTTGTGTTTTATGTGGCAGCAAAAGCACAAACTGTCTCTCTTCTCCATATTAATTGTCTTCTTTATAAGAATCTGTGTGAAGGTGAAAGTTATTTGAATTTGTTTAATTTACTCAATTTTTCATTTGCAGTCAGAAGTTTGGGTTTGAGGGAGCCTGGTTTCCTAACCAAAGACATATAGATTACATTGAGTTACATACTATGTATATCTCTGCTCGGTTGGCAAACAGAATTTTAGGATCAATGCTTACTTTCTCTTCAGTGCAGTAGACTTCTGAAGTGCATTATATTAAAGAGATGGCTTTTGATGGTTATAGATTCAAAAGGTTCTGTAGTTTGCTTTTTTTATTAAATACTGTACAACATAAACCACAAGATAAGTATTTCAGAAGTTTTACTTATATTGAAATTCAACTCTTCTTCTTCTTTCACTATTAACCAGTTATACTATTTTTTCCTCAAACTAACCAACTGTGATGCTGTTCTTCCCAACAGAAAATGTCCCACCACAGATAAACAACTCTCTTCCTGCTTTTGGGAAAAAGAAAATTTTGATACCAGAGATAAATGGGTTATGACTTTCAAGGCTCGGAACAATCTAACTAGGCATCAAGTTGAATATAATCACACAGTTCATGTTTTTGAAACTGGTAAGTATTTTTTCTCTATTTGTAAATAATAAAATTTTTCTTAACAGCGGTAATGATTGGATGGTAAGTAATGCAGTACCTGTATATGTCTTACATGTTTAATTCAGAGTACAGTAGTACAGTATAAGAGTTATTAGACTGATGTGTGTGATATACAGTACTTGTAATGCGGTCCATCTATTTGTGGTTGCATGATGATAAGTTATTGTGAGACTCTACTGAAAAGTTATGAAAATACGAAGACATAATTATGAACAAAAAAGTTTCACAAGTACAGTACAGTAATGAGTTGCATTGTTATCATTATGAGAAGAGAATATTCTCAGTGAAAAGAATTCATAAGAACTGTGCCTGTAATTATTTTAATTAGCTACAAATAAGCATTAACTTGAATTTTTTTTATTATTATTTGTGATAAAATTCTCATAATTGTATTAGTGCGGAGCCTCACAAGTGACCTACAAGTGTGTCTGGGCAGAATATGACTGTACAGTACTCAAGAGCAAGTACAGTAGTGCTCATACAGTACCTGTATCCAGGTACAGTAGTGCTCATACAGTACCTGTATCCAGGTACAGTAGTGCTCATACTGTACCTGTCTCCAGGTACAGTAAGGCTCTACCTGGAGAGGCTCTGTGGTCACATGTCAACATGGAATTTCATAACTAGAAATTTATGCCATTACTGTATAGTAGTCGGTTCTCCTATAATGTGGTAGTCGCATTCCTGAAGAACATTGCGTTATAGAAAAATTACACTACGATAACTATTCACTGGTATTGAGAGGTTATGGGGTAGTAGGTTTGAGAACACCAACATGACTGATAATTTTTTATTTATTTTTCTATAATGTTATATTATTGTTAATTTTATTGTGTTCTTTTGTAATTACAGTGTTTAAATTTGGTAATATCACTCATTAATAGATTAAAAACATGAAAAGAAGGGAAAATGCTTGTTATAGTGTTAGTCTACATCGTTAATTGATAGAAAACGTAGCAATGAAGAGCAAAAATTTCTAACCAAAAGAAATGTAAATAAACTTACAACAATGTTTGGGAGACATATAGTATACAGTAGGGTAAAGAACAGTCTGCATTAACACCTGTGATGTGTATGCAGGCTGAACAAAGACAGGTATGTGGGGTGACATTACTGGGATTACCAAGTCTGATTTACCAGTCATTACCTGATCCCTCAAGATTCGTTATCAGATCAAGTGTTTCATTACCTAAATTTATAACATATAGTGCAGTAAAAAAAAGTAAGGAAAACAGGAATTAGCCTAATACCTTATTTCTATATGACTGAAGTGTAGATAAAGTTGTTTACACTGAGTCGGTAATAATTCAGTGGTACAGGGAAGTGAAATCACCACTGCTCTCCTTCAGGTTCTCCCCTTATGATCACACATGTTAATGGTGAGCTTATTCAGGGTTAATACCAAATCGTTTCATTTACTGTATTACAAAATAGATTTTTCATTAAATTATTGCTGCTGTAGGCAGCATCTACTGTAGAAGAATCCACCAGCATCCCACCTTGTGTTACACTGTGCTTAGACAGCTGCACAACTGCTTATTTCTACTTGTATGACTTATGTACTGTAGTTATGTTTACTTTATCGCATTATACCCAATTTGCATGTGCGTTGTAAAAAATGTGTTCCCTAATATATTTGCTGTTTTGTAACCAATTCGCATTATGAAAACTCACGTTACAGGAGAACTGACTACAGTAGACACCTTGTTATATTGTGTGAGTGGGATTGAGAAATAATATATATATTTCTTTATTTCAATTGGAAATATAGGGTATAGGACTGAAACCCCAAAATATTCCAGAAATATGCTTCAAGACATTTATGTTACTCAACCGGTCATGCCGCCAGACCACCTGTCATCGATGTGGTCTGGCATCAAGGTGCTCAACAAGCTGTTGGTACATAGAAACAAAATCCAGATGAATTTTATACAAATACTGTACAGTACACTGTAGGTACTTAATGTATAAGTTATCTTAAAGTCCCCTTCATAAATGAGTAACAGTGAACTTGATCAGTCTTAATTGTATATGGGCTTGTACTACAAGTTTTGGAAAATGGGGGTTGGTTTTTTTTTTGCCTAAATTTCAAAACATGGGTAATTCAGACTTGAGAATACATTGAAGTATAATATATTCAAGTAAATTACCAGTAGGTCAAAAATAAAGTGAGAGGAGCGTATCAAAGGTCATGTCTAGTCTGGAAATAGAAGTTCAAATTCTTTATATTTCTCTCAACAGAGAGAAAGACAAGTTGCTTGTTGAATAAGAGAAATGTTACATGAACTGTATTTGTACATTGATAAAGCCATTGGTGAAAGATTTATACCATTCAGATAATCATTTTCTTTAAGTTATTGGCAGATTTTAACTTTCATCTACCTTACAAAGCTGAGAATAATTGCTGCTTCCATAGACTCAAACACTGAAAGCTTAACGGTAGTGTGTATGTAGGAACTGAACCCAGCTTTAAGTTCAGTAACATCAGTCTTCCCTCTATACTGTACTGTGGTACTTGTTAGCAGTAAGCAAGGGAGGTATATTGGTAGACAAGGGGGTAAGAACCCTTTATATTTAAAATTTATCATATCCTCCTCTTATAAGCCATTTGATTCACCAGTTTGTTCTTTCTTACTTTGATATGACTGTCATTGTTTGGTGTTGGTACAGGAGGAAACAAGAGTACCCAGAGAAAATTAACCCCCTTAAGACTTTGTTATGAGTGCAGTGTGTCAACAGTATTTTATCCTAGATTGATCACTACAATGGGTGTTTAGGTACAAGAGGTGAGATGAAAAGTATTATAGCATAAAATGTGATACAAGACTCATGAGGTGTGCAGCAGCTATCAAATCACTTAGCATACAGTTTAAAATAGTTTTACTGCAAGAAATGGATTGTTGAACCATGAATGTACCTGTAGTTGTAATGTATCTTTATTATTCATCATAAATAGAATCAAGGGTTGAAGAGATTATTACGGAAGAGAAAAATCATAGTTGTGGTGAACTTTACTCGATTGCTTAATAATATTGTATAGTACCAAGTAACCTCAGTGAGAAAATAGTAATCAGTCACATTTCTGTGTCTAAACTTCCCAATAATTAAAATTGTATTGATGTCCCCTTGCTTTAATTACTGTAAAATTTATTAAGAACTCAAACTAATTTAATCCCTGTATTTTTTTCTAAAGTAATCCCAGATCCACCGAAAGATATGGTAGCCAATGTAATTGGCCCTCATGTAGTCAACATAACATGGATGCTGCCTTTCCCAATTGATGTGTTTTACGATGGTGGTGTGATTCAGCAAGTTTCATATAGAGAACGCAGAGTGGGAGATCAACATGAAAATGCTCCTTGGCAAGAAGTAAGTACAGTACAGTGTGCGAGTATTAACACACTACTCTTTTTGTGTTGTATGTGTTACCCTGGTCACATATAATTATATGCATAGGTTCCTTTATTAGGTCTCTCCTGAAGGAGGGAGACAGGAATCCCCTCCCTCCATCTTTGGTCCAGTATGCTCAGAACATTTAATTTTTGTTATTTTACTTTTTCAGGTTTTTGTTTCATTGATGGTCAAACTAATTACAGTACAAATGTATATTTTGAGATGTTATGTGGGGTGGAGCAGATAAATTGCAGTACAGTAGTTTGTAAATATTACTGTTTTAATAAGTTCTTGCATAATTTCATTAGATTTTCTGACCTGTAATGTTTTATTTTACCATATTCACCAAATAGGATACAGTGCCTGACTGATGTTATTACTTAACCTGAGTCAGGCCCATGAGTGTTCTGATACTGTGTGTGCGTGCACGCATGCATGTACTAGAGAGAGGAGAATGTTGACATTATCTCTCCTGGGTGCTTGTAAACTTTATTAGTGAGTACTGAATGAGAAGCTGAGTTGAGGGGCTGGGACTAACTGGGGGATATTAATGATTAAGTTATGTCTTTAATCTGTCATTTAATAACACTTAAGAAACCAATCGTACGTTAATCAACACAAATTAAAAAAAAATCTGTGGGTTTGTGTTTATCATCTTATGTTTATGTGGGTTTCATTTCTGACATTGCCCTTCACATCACTTTAACCACATACTAAATAAACTAACCTATTTTCTCCCTCTATTTAGGTTGATCAGTGGAGGGTTGTGCCAAACCGCTTCAAGAAGGAAATATTCAGTAAAAACATCACAAACCTCCGTCCCTACACACTCTACGACTTCCGTGTACGTCTCCACACCGGGACAGGAGCTATCAGAGAACACATGTGGTCTGATGAAGAAATTCGTACCGAGAGGACTATTGCTACACGTAAGTGGGAATCAGTTACGGTAGTTTGTCTTGTACTGTACATTGTTGAAGGGCCGTTTATACTGCATAGATAAATATATTCTTGGAAATATTTGTGTTAAGATTAATCAGTATCATAAATTCTTGAATAGTGTCAGTCACATTTACTTGAACAATACTTGATGAATGTTAAATAAATCATCAAAGTACTATACATTACAGTATATACATTCTGGGAAAGAAACAAACCACTAATTATCAATATTTTCAAAAACATAATTCTGTACTGTACAGTATTCATTTTAGTTACTTAAGATTCAGAATTTTAATTACATTGATGAATTAAAGCATTAGAGAGGAAGATGTGCAAAGTCATGTCAGACTAGATGATATAATGTCATCCATACAAAACAAAAAATAGGAGGTCCTCGCTATACGTTGTACCGGTAGACTGTATACGTCATTTCAAGTATATGTCGCTAACAAATACAGGTACTGTACCAGAATATGATAAGTTGTCATAGAGCTAAAAAAACAGATAAATAGGAATACTGTACTGTATATTGAATGTGAAGCACTATTATAAAGAACAAGGTGTTTACTGACAATAAGGTTATCCGACAATGGTTCAGCTAAATAATGGCACAAGATTTTTTAAAAATATATTTGTCTTAATGCTATAATTGAGTAGCACAGCGCCAGAATGGGATAAGCGCCATGACTAGCCAAACAAGTAGACTTTGTGAAATGCGTAGTTCATTCTCCTCCCTGTCACATACAGGAGGCACCTCTAGGCACTTAAAAATGTTCACCAATGTAGTCTACGTTCCATCCTCCGAGTTCGCTGGGAAGACAAGAGAACAAATGCAGTATTCTCGCTGACACCAACTGTAGGAGCATTGAGGCTACCATGAACCACAAACAACTACAGTACATTAGGCTGGCCATGTTATTCACATGGATGACAGTAGACTGCCAAAGCAGCTACTTTACAGTCACTAATGAATCGTAAACGTAACTCTGGCGGGCAACTGAAAAGGTATAAGGATAGTCTGACAAACCTGAAAAAGGCCAAATTGACCCCCCACACCTGGGAGACAATTAATCCACACCGTAATGCTTAGAGGAGCACCACACAAGAAGGTGTCAATACTTTCAAGTTAACCCGACTGCATACCGAGGCAGATAAGTGCCAGTGCCGGAAAGATGCTGCCACTGCCCCTCCCGCATTAGATGTAGCCCTCCACACGTGCAATATCTGTGGACTACCCTGCTGGTCCCATATTAGCTTCTCGAGTCACTTCAGAGCTCGCCAACAAAGGTGACATCCTTAATAACTCGTAACATTGTATCATAGCTGGATGATTGTCATACTCGATTCCGAGTGACAGCAAAGTGGTATTAGGTACAAGTGGTGGATATCTCTATAGAACACTGCAAGCATGGTTGACAATCCATTGAAAAAATTATGTCAATATGTTCAAATGTTAATTTGTCGTGGTGTATAAATTTTACTGTAGCACAACTTCGGATGTAATTTTCTTGCTCTTATAAAAAATGTCATTTATTCAGTTCTGGTGCTGGGATACTCTTTTTTTTTTTTAAGTATAGAAACAGTAGGATAGCTTGAAAGAATGAATAATCACAAATATATATATATATGTGTGTGTGTGTGTGTGTGTGTGTGTGTAAATAATAATAATAATAAACGGTTTATTAATAGAGTTGCAGCCGGTGGCTGAAAATATACAGAGTTACATTTGATTTAGACATAATGATATAATATGCGTTGAATGCATTTACAGGGCTGTATAGTACATAAATCAGGAGTTGTTTATTATTTTAACAATAGATGGGATGGTGCTGTTCTTATATCTATCGGTGCGGGCTCTTATGGGCTGGATTTTGGAGTGGCGGACTGTGCGAGGTGGGTGGGGGGCTGCTGGTGGCAGGAGGTGGCGATGACGAGGGTGGTGCAGTAGTTCACTGCCAAACCTTGCCAGTGCTTGGTGGTGGAGGTCACTGAGGGATGGCATTTCCAGGGTGGAGACAGCGTTGATGTAGCCGGAGTATTCTGCGCCGAGAATGATTCTGCAGGCCCTTTTCTGTACCTTCTCTAGCCAACGTTGTTGGGTGGAGTTGAGAGAAGATGACCAGGCTGGTGACGCATACGTTAGTTTGAGGTGTATAAAGGCGTTGTAGATAGTCCTCAGCTCTGGCGTGGGTGTCCCAAGTGACCTAAGTCGTCGTAGCATGTAGAGTCGGTACGAGGCTGCCTTGAGTGTGTGTGTGTGTGTGTGTGTGTGTGTGTGTGTGTGTCATTCTGTTCTGAGCAGTGACCATGTTATTAATCAGGTCATCAGAGAGCACTGACCATGTTATTAATCAGGTCATCAATACTCTATCATTATATCTGCATATTTTAACCTTTGTTATTACAGGAACTACAAAAGTGCAATGTCATGATTGAAGCAACAATGCTTAAAAGAATGTTTGTTTTCTAGGTCCCACAAGAGCTCCCAAAACTGATATCGGTACATTTGAGGTCGAGAACACTATCCAATATCGTGAAATTTTCATCAACTGGCAGAGAGTGGATCCAATGTATTGGAATGGTCCCAGTTTTCGCTACGATGTCACAGTGTTTGATAATGAAGATGGCAGGTATGTGTTAAGTGAAGAAAGCCTGTTGTGGTTTCATCTTACATTTAGCTGTAGTAATTGATATCTTAATATGTCTGAAACATTCCCAAAATGTAAAATATTTAAGCAAGTCATGAATGATCTGTGTGTGTGTGTGTGTGTGTGTGTTATAGGAATTTTGTGCATATAAATTCTTTTACATGGTTGTATGTACAGGTGCTTTTATTTATGTAAAAAAATTCCTAAACTGCAAGGTGTCTCCAAAAACTGTGTACTGTAAATTCTCTCTTAAAGATTTTTATGGTGATTGCTATTACAAAAGCAACATTTACCTCAACTTCTGTGAGACCTCGCACATCAACAGGTGAGGACAGTGTTGTTGTTGTAATTCAAGTATTCACTCGATCCCATGAAAGTCTGTAAATCAGTGTGTATCCATTTTTCTGACACCCTGGATACTTGTTCTATTTGGTTCTAGTTGGGGTGGTATAAAGGTGGAAGACTATAGTACCAGACCTATGATGGTAATGAATGGAGCTCTTTAATGACTCAGTGTTAGAAGCTATTCTGTGATGTCATAATTAACCAATCACAGTCTTCATACAATAATAATATCTCTGGTGATTGATGACAGCCATACCCCTTCGAGTCAATGACAAAATATTTAAGCAGTTCCATCATAACCTGGGACTATGAAGTCGCACCAGAAACTGGCTCATCTCAACCTTACTTGATGGCCAGTTACTGGTCCATTGTAGCCAGTTGGTAAATTGTTACTTCTGACCTTTTATTTATTTTTTATTTCAGACTTGTTACCCTGAGGCCTGAAAATATAGAAATCGAAGATGCTTTTGCTAAATTTACCAGCATGAATAAGAGTACTGCCTACAGGTAAGAATTATGAGGTTCATATATGTCTTATACAGTACCAACAAAACACAGTGCTGGATGAAGAAAATGTTTACGAGTTGAAAAACATGAAATTTTTTTGGCTTCTCTCACAGTTTTGGTGTAATGAATAACTGAGGCTTATCAGTCTTTATTTCATGTGAATATCTTATACAAACATGACAGTATTTCCCCTTTAGCTAATAACATTTTGAAGGCTGTTAACCAACATGGCTGTAGGTCATGCACATATCTTACCCTGTTTAGTTGGTGGAATTTCATGTCGGAAAGTGGTAAGTAAATAATATTCCAAGAATAAGAATGTGTTTACAAATGTATGTTTTGTATTTCCAACTCAGATTTGTGATCAGACCAGTGAATGATGTAGGACAAGCTGCAGAAGACATTAAGGCAGAAGTCGTGGTACCCGAGATGTCTGACATAATAGAGCCCCTGACATTCTTTAGAGTGACTGCCATCAATGGTTCCGTCAACACCATTTACATGACCAGGTGGAGCCTCCCAGCGGATGAGAAAGTGAACCAGATGATAAAGAGTCTGACACTGTACTGGTGCAAGAAGGATAAATACGAGCATCGGTGTAAGGTAGGCATCTTAGTTTCATAGAGACCAAAGTTGTTTGTTCTGTTAAATCCCTCTGTGTGTGTTATGAATACTTGTAGAGCATACCAATTTTGTGTACAACTGCCACTTATTCTTGTTTTCTATTTTAAAAGAAATGAATGTTTTGCTTTATCAGTTACACTTTGATTTACCTAGATGAGGAAATGTGGAAAGTTTACAAAACAACAGCATTTATTATGTCCATGAACAATAAAGTACTGAATGCTTAAAAGTTATGGAATTACTGTAGTTTGATAATGATGATACTGAATGCCTTTTTTTTTCCACAGAACAAACTTGAATGGGTGAATATTGAGGACACAAGCATCACAGCCAAAAATGTGACATATCTGGATTCTTCTATTTACATGTTTGGTATATCTGCCAACTCCCTCAACTCCTCCAGTGGGATCAAGTGGGTCAACTGCATTGCAAGTTACGACAACCCTCCTCCACCCCTGACAAATTTTAAGGCTGTTTATGTGTAAGTTGTATATCATAACACCCTCTACTGAAATAGTACTTAAAATATTGTTGGTAGGGGAAGATGTACTAATGTTAAAGTGTGATTACTCTCCTTGACACAAAACACCTGATGTGAATACTTAATGAAAAAAAATTATATAGTGTTCCCAATACTGTATAGTGTTAATGGTGAATTATAGAATTTGGATCTTTAGAGTAAGCCTAAAAGTTGAGTATATTTGTAAAGTAATGAGAAAAAATAAGTAAAAGATCAGTAAACTATATTTAGATTCTACCTTCACTAAAGTTTGAGTTGATTTCAGCAGTAATTGAATTCCAAAATTCTTATAACTACTGTGGCAGACCTGGGGCTGAATATTAGTCTAGCACAGGTGAACAGGTTTACACTTGCTGCAGAATCAATCAGGGAAATGCTGACATAGATTGATGCCTTTCTTATGTAACACACACACACATACCGTATATACCTGTGTATAGCACGAGTTCTTAAGACCAAATTTTTTGGCAAAAAGTTGGGGGTCGACCTCTATACGGGTAATAGTTTTGTTAGGTTGAAAAATATTTACCAGTAACTACCAGTAAACAATGGAAACGACGCACCAACTCACCACCCGCTGTGAGTGTTGGTACAGTTGCCAGGGCAGATCTCTTGCGTCATCATAGCAAGCCCAAAGTAGCCAAATGCATGGTATGGTATGGTATGCACAGGAGTATGTAAAACATAAAGTATTCATTTTTAAAAGTTTATTTATGGATACAAATTTTTTTTAATTAAATTTGAAACATCAATCTTTGTTAATTAAATTTGAAACAAAAGAAAAATACGATACCTTATTTATAAATATTTTCATTAAAATATTACATCACAAGTATATTTTACCTTAACTGTGCCTGAATGAATATATTCTCAGAAATAAATATGGAAATGTAATATTTTTGCTGAAATGACGTACGTATTACAGTGGAAAGTGGGATAAAATTGTGACGAAAACAATGACTCACTTTCTTTCGTCGTTCAAAAGATTTTACCGTAATCGCTTTTCGAATGGTTTTCAGTTAAAAACTGTTGTATTACAATAATATTCTATCCTAATTGACTTGAATAAATACTACGATACCATATTTCTGAATATTTTCATTAAAATCCATCAAAATCATTTTCCTTGTCATCTGCAGCACCAAACAGCTCCTCCCAGTCCTCTCCTTGAACAGCATCGTCATATGGATCAACACCATCATCAGCCATAGGATCATCAATATCTTCATCCTCATTCACGCTCTCATTAGCCTCATAATCCCACAACAAGTCGTCTTCTGTTCCATCAAGAGCATTCGAAATCCCACATTTCTTAAAAGATTTCACCACAATTTCTGGTCTGATTGCATCCCAGGCCTCTACAATCCATTCACATAATGTTGCTAGTGATGGAGCTTGGATGTTGCCTCCCTTTGTGTATGTCTTATCGCCTTCTATCATCCAGTTGTTCCACTTCACTCTTACCGCATCTTTAAATGGTTTGTTTATGGAAACATCCAGTGGTTGGACAAGACTTGTTAATCCACCAGGAATCACAGCTGTATCAGTGTTTTCCTTCCTAATCCCAGCAGTAACACTGTCAACAAGATGTGACCGAAACATATCCCACACAAGAAGACTTTTTTCTTTGCGCAGTCCCCCTGGTCTAAAGTTCAGACTTTTTTAAGCCATATTTGTATGCCGCCTTCATCCATCCATCCTTTCTCGTGCACATGGATGATTAAAAAAATGCTGTCTGACTTGCAACACTGTTGGTAGGGTCAGGTGGTTCTAACGGCACCTGCCAGGACCCAGTAATCAAATTTATAACAGTGTCTTACCTCAATTACTGTAGTTTATCTGATGTAGGCAATATGAAGTAAAAAATACCAGTTAAAGTGAGAAATTGGAAGAGAATAAACAAGAAAGATGTCGTTGGGCTATTTTTGGTAGGGCTGAGGGAGAGAGTACCAGCTGTTTGGTCTTTTTTGGTGGGAGAGTCACACAAATAACTGTAGTACTGGTATTTGTTTGGTGTCTTCTGTATTTTTAAAAATGAATACTTGTAAATTAAAAGTACCGTAACATTGTATTATATACAAACTTGTCATATTTCTGGAAAATAAGAAGCAAGAAAATAAGAATATACCGGTAAACACAATTTCAACGTACGCTAAAATTAAAAGCTGCTTAAGAAGGGCTGATGCAAACACAAAACCTCCGCGACCAGGGCTCTGCCGTATCAGCTAGACGGTACACGTGTTTTTCGAATCGTTTTCAGTTAAAAAACTGTTACATCACAAGTGAATTAGGATAGAATATTATTGTAATACAACAGTTTTTAACTGAAAACCATTCGAAAGGCGATTACGGTAACATCTTTTCAACGAAAGAAAGCGAAAGTCATTGTTTTTGTCACGATTTTATCCCACTTTCCACTATAATACGTATGTCATTTCAGCAAAAATATTACATTTCCATATTCTCAGAAATAAATAGTAGTTTTGCTGAAACGTGATGTATTTCAATGTAAATTAGGATAAACTACATGAAAACAAAAGACTTTACCAAACCTTCCTATGTTCAAGATATGTTACTCGTTTTTTTATTAGTTTTCGGTTAAAATACTGTTATATTAGTGATGTTCTATTCATACTGTGCTTGATATAATACATTCACGGAAATGTAATATTTTTTGCTGAAATGACGTACGTATTACAGTGGAAAGTGGGATAAAATTGTGACGAAAACAATGACTTTTGCTTTCTTTCGTTCAAAATATGTTACCGTAATCGCTTTTCGAATGGTTTTCAATTAAAAAACTATTGTATTACAATAATATTCCCTCCTAATTGACTTGAATAAATACTTGAATGGAAATATACAATATTTTTGTTGAAACTACCCTCGTTTCAGTGTAAAGTGTCGTAATAATAAATGGTAAACAAGTTTATAGGACGTAGTGTTTCTCTGAAGGTTTTGTTGTTCCTTTACCCTCAAAAACTTGGGTCGACCTATAAACGAGGAATATCATAAATTAACAATTTCTTGGTCAAAACATCGGGGTCGACCGATATACGAAGGGGGGTTATAGACGAGTATATACGGTATATACATACATACATCATGAGCTCGTAAATACCAGATGTTAGCAATGGGTTTTTAGAATACAGTATTTTTTACTGGATCAATCTTGGATATAGACATTTTAATGACTTCAGTTCCAAATTTCTGGGGTCACTTATTTTGTTTTTAAAATGAGATTAATTTGTCTGAAGACTCTACTCATCTCTTAATGGTTTTGACAAAATGTGATTATTGCTTATGTTGCCAATTGATTAGTTGTTAATTGGCTCTTTGGAGATAGACCCTCTGTTATATTGTACTGTACTGTACAGTTTATCTCTCACTATACGTATGGCCCAATAAGATAAAATTCATTTTAAAGAACGTAATATTTTGAAGAACAAAAATCTATACAAAAACATTCACGTTAATGAATAAAAACCACATTTTGACACCATTTATTTTATTTTTTTCATTTAAAGAATATGTGAACTTTTAGATGTCACACAGTCAAGGTGGCCACCCATGACCCTCACAGTTTTTAATTCTGTAATATTTTAATGGGACGCGTACAGTATAGTACAGTGTATTAGTGAAATTTATGTGAAAACCTGCAAGTTGATCAACATTTTCCCTCCTGGAACATAAGCTCCAATAATCCATGGATTCTACCATTTGATAAATGTTTTTTCACCTGATAAATATTTTTCCAAGACTGCAACCCCTTCATATGTCAGGGAATACCTGTAAAGGCTTTTTTAACAATAATAATTGTTTTCCGTGCCAGGACTTCAACGGAGGTAAAGTTGAAGTGGTCCATTGACTGTAAAGCAATACCTACTGGCTTCAACATTTCATACTGCAATGTGACAGGCAATGAGATAAGCTGCCCTCCAAATGCCGGTTAGTAAATACTGATTATTATATAGACATTTATAGTACTGTATTATATCATTTATTTTTATTACATGTGTTGATCCTGGGTAATGTGGGTACTGTATAGGGCTGACCTCAGAAATGTTGTGCTAGGATGGGTAGAAGCCTCACTGTGTAGTCTTCATATCCACTTTTATAATCATAAGATAATTTATATATCTGTACTATATATTTTTTTTATTTTCTGGATTAACTTTTCCAAGATCTGATGAACTATTGCTTGGTGGATAAGAGTGTCTTTTGTTTTTGGAGGCGGGTCCTTCTGTGTGTGTGTTTGTATGTGTATCTTTTGTTTGGGGTTTTCTAATGTGTTTATATTTTGTTGTGACTTTTCTTATGTGTGTTGTTCTTTTTTTTCAGATGTAACATATGAAATACTAAATGATGAAACTTTAGTTGAACATATAGTAAGAAACCTTCACCCATACACCTACTACATCTTCAACATTGCAGTTCTGGCTGACAGTGGCCTCGGCAAATGGAGCAAATCAGAAAAGAATCAAACGAAGCCATACAGTATGTCTACTTTTATCTTTTTTCAGACAAACTTGATGTAACCGAAATAATAATATATATTATTTGAGTTCATATATGTTCCTGCTTAATTAAGTTTGTCAGTTTATCTAAATATTTATCCATAATATGCATTTATGTATATATGGAAAGTACTATGAAAATAACATCCCACCCCTTTTTTTTTTCTATTTACTAGAGTAGGGAATATAGTCAAAGAATGTTCACTGAAGTTGATATAAAGCTGGTTATTACCAAAAACTTGGGATAACAATGAATATTAGTAGATTCCCACCATATTTTAAAGATAGTCAGTCTGTGATTTGCTTATCTATGGCCCAATGAATTATTGTTAAAAATTTACATAATGTGTGGAATCCTAGAAACATTAGAAGTATGTAAAATGCTCTGTAAAACAGTCAAATTATTTTTTATTCAGAATTAAAAAAATCAGTTGTAAGAAAGCCATTCAAGTTTTAAGTAAATATTGTATACTGTACAGTAGTCCCTCGCCAACAGCTGTTGACAAGACTAAAGACGTTTAGGAGGTTAGGTTCCATGGCCACGGATAACACTCGTCAAAGCCAGATTAAGTTGCCTGTTTCTTCACTAAATAATACTTGTATTCTATATTTAATTAGATTTGAGTCACATACATATAAAACAGCTTAATATATATTGGACAATATATAATATAAATTTTACATTACAGGGTATTCTCTTTGGTGGTACGAATCGAGGATTCATTTACGCCCAAAGCATGTCCCACTGATGTTATATTCTTCCTATGCACGAGTCTATCAAGCACTTAAACTTTATTTTCTAATGTCATTATGTTCCCTGCCCTTTTCACCTTCTCAGTTTTATCAATAACACCCAGTGAATGCTTAGGGGCCAAAGTTAAAGGCAAAATCAATTTTATTACAGTAAAAAATAAGTGAAATAATATAGAGCAGTGGGAGATGGAACGCTGTGCGGAGGAATACATTAGACCACTTGGAGGGATAAAGGTGGTGCGATAATCCGTGGATACATAAAATTAAATGCTGTTGTAGGTAAAATGGTATGCAGGGTGAAAACTGTGGACCCATTGAATCCATGGTTGGCGAGTGTCTACTTTATTGCAGAATATGTACTTCATAATGTTGTTAGTTAGTAAACAAAGTATGAATGCTTAGCAGTCTTAGCTGAACTGGTCCCAAGTCTTGTTGACCCTTGTCTGTCTCACACAAACCAGCATTACCCATCTGCAATATGTCCTTCCTTCATTTTGCTCTTCAGTCACTCATGCACACAAATGTATCTTGGATGTTCTTTCCCATCATATGTAGTTTGTCGTACGGGGACCCTATTCTTTCAACTCCTCCTTGGTCGTCTCCTCCCTCCTATCATCACCCCATTGTTTTTAAACTAATCACTTCCTACTCTATGCTTAACATTTCTTTCCCTCTAATGTGCTCTCTCTATTTATTATTATCTACCTCTTGTTTAGCCCACATATTGTGTTGTCCTCAAGCACATAATTTTTATCACCACTGTGTTGCTCCTTGGTCTTACACCCACAGTCTTTGCTTCACACCCACATAATATTGTTGGCACCATGATTCCGTAGTACATCCCCATCTTTGCTTTTCTTTATAGTATACTGTTTATAAACAGAATATACTGTATCTGTATTTGTGTTATTTTGTATTGCAGAACCCAGTGGTCCACCACAAGACTTGGAGGTCAAAGCAAGGGGTCAGGAGTGGGTGTTACTGGCCTGGAAGCCTCCTCTTGTAGAACAACGTAATGGGAGGATGTCGCAGTACAAGATCATTGGTGAACCACATCTCAGGTCAATAGTTGTTCAAGCCCTCCATAACTCTGACATAATTGAGGTTAGTGTTGTACACATGACAATATTTTGAAGGAGCCATCTAAGAATCGTTGTTTATAATTTAATTATTGTCATTCCACTTTGAGATAATTGTTTCTTGAAGGTGTCATCTTAGTAATTCATACCTTATAGTCTGTAAAGTACTGTATAAAATGGTCAGTACTGTATAATGAAACACTATCTATGAATGATCATAGAGTGCTAAATGTAAGAAGAAATGAAAGACTGGAAATAAAATTCTTGTTGCGAGTTACTTATTTTATAATGACAATTAATTTCTAATAGAATATTTTTTTTTCCAGTTCAATGTAACAGACTTGACATCCTACACAAACTACACTTTTCAAGTTATCCCTTGTACAGAAGGTGATAAAGATAATTTTTGTGGTGACCTGAGTGCTTCTCTTGAAGTGCAAACAAGAATAGGAGGTAAGTTCTGAGTTTTTGTTTCTAATGCCAAGCTTGGGTGGTTTGTTTTATGACAGTATGTCAGTACAGTACAGTACAGTGCTCATCCCTTTTAACACAATGTAGATACAGTATTCTTGTTCCTCCAGTGTCACTACCATCATAAACCTTCAATTTCTTCTTTGTTGTGAGTCTTAACCCCTAATGTATGGGATTGCCTCTCACCTGAATAAAATCGTCCTAGTTAGCCAAATAAGGTATTAAAAGTGGCATCCCTGTAGTGAAGGGGTTAAATCCCTCTGCCACTATAATATTATTACAGATGTTCACTTCAAGTCTGATGCAGACTCAAACTAGCTATAGTGCTTTATATTTAGTTTAATTTTGTAAAGACTAATACTGTATTAATTATACTAAATACACTGCTCAATATTATTGTTTATTTGAATAATAATTGTGATTTCATTGACACTTTATTTTTTAACCTTCAGCTCCTGGCAAAATTAGCAGCATTGATCAAGATGACAACCTACTGAAGTGGGATCATGATGAATGCTTTGCACCAGAGTGTTCATTTCAGCTTCTCTACAGAGTCAACGGCACAAACCACGTTTACAACACCTCAGCGGGTAAGAGAGGAAGGCAGTCAATGTGATATTAAGAAATTTGTGACTCAGTACAGAAAGTAATGAAATGTAGACTAGTGTTAATTGGTACAGTTGGCAAAATAACTTCACAGAAACCCAACAAGTATAGGGTAGGGCAGCCAATCTGGTAATAATGTAAAGGTAAGAGGTGACGAGGAGTGGTAGGCGGGGAGTAAGGGAGACCTCGTTTGAGTGACAGGTGTGGGTATATCATGTGTTTGGAAGTGAGGTTTTTACACTGTTACCACACCTCTTGCCCTACCATTATATTTGTTGGGTCTCTGCGAACTTATTTGGCTGACTGTGCCATCTCTGTTCCTTATAAGAGTTCAGAAATTAAAATATATTTTGAATTGTTATAAGTGGTGGGAGGAGTGTCAGTGTCAGGCAGTTGAGGTGTGACAGGTATATGCATATACAGTACATGTAAAGTATTTCCCTCCTTCAATATAATGTCCACTTAAAGGTATAGATTCAAGGATAACATATTTATTGTTAATTACTGATCAAACAAAAGAAGAATCCAGCAAACAAAATTTTAGGCATTATCTTTCATATCTAGTTAAAGAATTAAGAGTTTTTCAATTAGAATTTGTAAATATTATTTTCCTCACGATTCCCTCCCCATAATGTTGAAAGAAAGTTTATACAGTAGCAAGATGGCAAATGGCAAAGTGAATATACATGAAAATCATTATCATTATGTACTCTTTATGTCAAGATGCCTGCATGTGACAAATATTTTTCTCAAGAGTCGAGACAAACGAGCACAATAAAACCTTAGAAGTTTGGGAGTTAATTATCTGGGAGTTTGGGAAAATGTGCAACAATGCAAATTCAAATACAGGTATTCATGACTTTTTGTCCCAGATCGATGATCAATCTTTTCATTGTTTTGATGAAGAGAGTTTGCTTATCCAGGTGGGTGGGTTAGTAGGGTCAACAGGCTGACCCAGAGTGCCAACTTGACATGCTCTCACCCCATAGTGGTCAAGGAGTTTATGACTTAAAGTCTCGCCTAGATTTGGAATTTTTCCATTAGAGGTTACTGTGAAAAGAAAGAGTATAAGATTCAAAATGTAATTATTATTTTTGTAAGTCAAGGTATGTGCAAAAAGGAATAAAAGAAAATTTGGTTGTGTACATCATGTATGTGGGGGAGGGGAAGTAAAAGTTGGTACAGGAGTTGTTTGAGGTTAGATGAAACAGCTGAGTAAGAGGACTTTACTTTGGGAAAGCCTGAGTGTGAATGGATTGTTTACATTACCTAAGTGTGTTTGACATTTAGCACTTACATGAAGTTCTGGGAAGTGTCCATTGTATGTTTGGAGATTGGTACAGGTAGCTAACTATATATTTTCTGAACAATATTTGAAACTGAGTCCATCATATTTTCCAGCGCCATTGATGAAGTGCTTTCAATTTATTATAAAAATTTTCATAGATTCATTGTTTTCTCTCTCAGGGCAAACAGCTGTCAACTTCAAAGACCTCAACATTTCCTGCACTGATCGCCAAAAGGAAATCTATATTGGCATGCGTGCCATCAGCAAGAATGAAGATGGCCTCATACTGACTGGCCCAATGAAGGATGAGAGGATAAATTGCCCTGTACCAGGTAGTAACTGTAATGATCATGTTCCTAGCATTTCTGTTCAGCCTCAGATTATTTTAGTTCAGAGTCCAACAATCAATCAGTACAATACAATCTTTAACCTCATTACAGACCCATATAGGAGTGGTCATCAAAGTCCATTACAGAATACATACATTTTGGGACGTAATCCTAGTTTGAATCATGGTTTAAAAAAAGTAAACTTGCAGACTAATGAACAAGTTGCACTGGGTATTGTTCAGTTGAATGTGGGTTCACTGCATCACAAAGGGTATGGAGGTAAAACTGCCTCTTGGGACAGTTTTGTTAGTCCTCTTGAAGTTCAAAGGGAGGAAACAGAAGAAATGGAAAGGGGCAGTTTTCAGTTTGGTTGTCCTCTTATTGAACTACTGAGAGCAAAAGAAGTGGAAATACAGTTGAAATCTTCCAATAACAAATTTGAATTAAATATAAAAGGTGGTGGTGGGTCTTATGGTCTTGCGGAGAGCATTTATCTTCATTCTCTTGTTAACAACGGTGTATCAGGCAAGACAGAGAGTGAGCCATCAAGGACCAGTAGCCAAATAGGAGTAGATACAAATAATTTCTTCCACATGGATACAAAGGTTACGATGGATTATGATAATGACGTACATGATCAACACACACATTTAGAAATGAAGGAAGACAGTGCCATTGAGGTGAAACAAGATGAAATAGTTGCCAACATTTCTTCAAGTTCAATTATTCCTACAACATTGGACTTGATAACAACACCTGGTGGAAACACTACACCTGTTTCTGGAGATTATGCTTCCCACCCTTCACTCACTGAGATTGAGTCAGAAATGCTCACAGCATCAGTTCTTGAGGAAACACAGGAGCTGGTGACCAATAGTTCCAGTGAGGTTAGCTTGGAAGCCATGCAACCTGGGAACACTGTTGATCATGTTGTGTTGTTGCATGATGGTACACAAAAAAACACAGAGTCAGAGGAGGTGGTTGAAGGTTCTGGGGTATTAACAGGAAGTCATTCTCGTAGGAGTGCAGAAACTCCACCTCTTGCTGTGAGGAGAGACTCGGCTGACAGTCCACTCTCTGTTGTGGATCTTCTTCATCCAGGAAGGTTTATTTCTGAAACTTTTAATAATAAGGAACTGGATGTAAGTTATAATTACAGGAAACAAGCAGAAGTGGTAAATTACCACATCAGAGAAGCATTGCTTGCTAATGATAATGTGAAAACAATAAAGAAGAAAGCAACCCTGGAGGAGCCTCAGATGGAATATTCCTCAGTACTTAATAGAGACTCAGAGGAACTACAATCATTTCAGCATGGAGCATCTATGATTTATAACTTAGGATTAATGGGTTCATTTAATGGTAATGTTGGTAATATTGTTCCTCGGTTCACTAGAGGACTTACAGCTCCATTGAATAATGTGTTACCGGGAGAGATGGAGGATTTTTCAGTCCCCAATAACAACATTGTTGACCGAGGTTTATTACCTATTATGACACATGGCAGGGAGCCCATGAGAGAAAATCAGTATGAAAACACTAATACTGTCAGTAATCAAAAGAACAGACATACACCACACAGAAATAATATGATTTCAGACTGTCCATTTGAGGATATAATAGAGTCCCATGATGTCAAGATTCATTTAAACACTTTAGAAGATGGAGGTTTTGAATTAAATCTACAAGGAAATGGTGGCTTGTATGATCTTATGAAAAAGTTTATTTTAAAGGCAAATTTCTTGAAGGACAACATGAAAGGAAAGAGTAGGGAAGAGGAAGGTTTGTTTATGAGTCATTTGAGGCAAGGAAATATTGAAAGCACCAAACACGATGTGCTACAGCAAGTTCAGGGTCACAGTTATTCTGATCGACAATTGAACCAAAATATAAATGGTAATATGCAGGTGACCAATACAGCTTCAGTGGATACAGACTCGCTTAATAAATCTCAAGTTGTTCAGAGTCAGGGTAATACAACAAACAGTTTAGACGGAGTTGACTACACTGTGACTTCAGAGTACTTGAATGCATCGATAAAGCAACAAACAGAACAAAGTTGGACTGAGGCACCAACACAGACTTCTGCATCATATGATGTGCCAGAAGAGCAGATGGTGGGCCCAGAAAATATGATTCAAACACAAACATTAAGTAGTGAAAGTACAACAAAACGATGGGAAGATAATCAACCCAGATCTGAAGGAGAACAAGACAAAATTATATTAAATCATGGAGTTAATTCTTCAGTTTCAAGTGATACGTCAGAAGGTGTTGATTTGATGAATAACAAATCTTTCCATTCAGGAAATTGGACAAACAATTCAACTCAAAGCCAGAATTTAGAGGACAATTATACAACTAACTCCGCAAACCAGACCTCGACACCAGAGAACACAAAGACCCAGATGAGCAGTAGTTCACCTCTGTGGATCGGTGCTGGGGTAGCCTTTATACATTCTACCTTTCCACAAAATGTTGAAGACTCCACAACAACTCCAAGTATTCATTCAGAAAATACAACTGGTAACCACTAGACCTTAACGGCTTGGATAATTTTTTCAAGAGGAAGATGATATGGAGGATTACAACGGCCTCACTAGATGTAACTGTAGAGATAGTAGTTATATTTCATGATAAAATGAAGAAGTAATAATAGTACATACACAAGTTAAATTACTGTACACACACTTTTCACATGTAGTGCTTTCTTCGTGCCATTCTTCCACCTCGTTCATGGTCTATCCCTCTCCTCCCTACCATTTATCTTTAAATTATGAACTCTTTTTTACCAAATCTTTACTTCTTAATGTGTTCAAACCATCCAAACAGACTTAGATCTGCTCTATAATATTTTATTTCACTTCCATGTCTTTTTATTTCTGCATTAAATATGCACAAGACAAGAATGTCCTCACTCCTAAACTCAACATGTGTTCATTTACTCTCTCCTTATCTCTCAGGTGGTTACATACACACATTCAACCTTCTCTTTATAATTTGCTTTTTTTTTCTCTATAGTACATAAGATGGATTAGTGTAATTTAGAACATAAGGATCAATGTAGCACAACACAAAGAATATAATTGTTTTTACAAGTCTTCCATGAAAGTGTCAATGTATAACAGTAATAAGGACTAAGGAATAAACCAATGAATTTGACAATTGAAACTGTTGTTCATAAGAAGACACACTTGCAAGAACACTTGATACAATTATGTTTCATGATCACATATGTGATACAGTACATATATATAGTATATATAGAAAGCTTTATGTGAGCATTAGGTTTCCTAAGTGATTGTTAGTTTCATAGTCATGTGAGAACATTTTAAAGGCCATTTTTCAAACATCGTAAGTTTTATTAATTTTCAGTATGGTTTATAACACCAATAGTTTTAATGATTTAGTCTTGATTGATTTGTACTGATTGATTTTGGAAGATGAAATAGAATGAAGTAATAAGTATTTCAGGTTTTATGAAGTGTTTGTTTAAGGATCAAATGGTGAACTGTCATGCTGTAAACTGCTCAGGACACTCTAGTACACGCAGTTTCTTGGACGCATTTACTATGTTCATCATGTAAGCCTAATGAGTGAGACTTCCAGTGACGTCTTCCTACGATGGTGGAAAAATTATATGATAATTTATTTCTTATATTATGGGAAAAAAGTACATGAATTACTAATGTTTGTTGCCAGTGGTGGATTTACCAGTGTAGTCTCTTAGGTATATGTATTGGTGTGGTAAAATGTTGTTTAATGTGGATCATAGATACCTGACGTTGATCTTGCTCCTATGTGTTGAATATTGAAACTCTTGTCTGTGCAGTTAGTGCAAATCACTATTGATATACAGTATTTCCTTCTAACATTTGTGTATCCATTGTCTTAAGCTAGATAGTGTCAGTACAGTATATGACGTACATTGTGTGTTTTTTCCTGATTCTGTATGCATATTAATGGTGTACAGAAACTGACTTTGTAGTGTGCCCTTATAATTGTATTTTGTCGAGATGCTGTGGGTTTATCAAATATAGATGTAATATGCAAAAACAAGTCGTGACTAATTTTGACACTGATAATCATAGACAATTCTGTTCCTCCTGGTTAAAGTATTGCCATTGTACATACTACCTCTATACTCACCTCTGATCTCACGAAATAGATAGAGAAATGTGGGAAGATAACACACTGACACTTGGGTCTATCAGTGGAGCATTTATCGTGAATGAAGAGACAGACTTTCATTGTTTATTGTCTCCATACACTTCCAGGCATAAGGAATCAGTTTTACAGAGATAATACTCATAGTGGATAATTAAGATAATTAAGAGAGTAATCATGACATTGGATAATTTAGATAGTACTCATGACAATGGATAGATAATCTTGCTTTTAACTTATAAAACTACAAATATTAAGCATTATTGGGGAGCCTCAAGGAAATACTGGACTGGAAAGAGTAAACAAAATAGTACTGTTTCTTATACCGTATATGCTTTTGTTTTGTTTTTATCTTGCACTTTATCATCTTCAGTAACACTCTAAAAGTTGGCCACATTTTTCAATTTTTCATCACCATTTGCTGAAGTACTGTACAGGTATTTATTTCTTCTTTCCTGTACACAGTTATTTTTTTTTCCTTTATACAGGTACTTTCTTTTGTCTTTTCTCCTGCCTTCCTATGACAAGTAATTTGGGTGGTATTGAAGGTGTGGGATGAATAGGAAGTTATTGAATACCCATCAGACTTTTATAAGATTGACACATGTGTGAGTAAGAGAGAAAATGATTCCCAATGAAAGTTGAACTGTCGGGAGAATGTGTTATATCACCTCTCTAGTACAGTATACTCGGTGTTTTCTTAGATGGAGAAATAAAAGAACTGAGAGCACAAAAAATGGAGAAGGGAGCAAGTATGATAAATAAAAATGTGGAGTGTAATTGTGAGGCGAGTCAGATAGTGTTGACAGATGCCAATAGTATTGTGATGGTCAGCT